CCCCCCCCCCCCCCCCCCCCCCCCCCCCCCCCAATTAATATATTTGGCAGAAATTCTCATGCAAAACTATACAATTTGATTCCGAGGATCATTATGATAAATTCAATCTTGGATAATCATAAGAAGAATTGGAATGTACTAGTGGTCGCTTGACTTACAAATAGCAATGCAATAGGTGATAGAGGTTGATTTTGAATTAGCTCACCTGTAGCAAATTTGATCTAAATATTTCACATTCTACAGACATGTCAGTTAAATCAAGTCTACTTGAATCAGGGGGAGTAACTACTATATTCTCTTGGCTATTCTAAGGAAAATAATAATGATATATAATAAAGAGAAATGTAAATTAAGTTCTCAAAACATTCATTTAAATTATTAGAAAAGATTAACTTACTTACATAGGGTAAGGGTCTCGAGTTTTAATTTCAACATAACACAAAGCTTTTCCTCACGTCAAAATTTCCATCTTGAATCACTTACCGATGGAAATAGGCTCAAGATACTATTCTAGCTGGCACATAACATGCTCAGCCAATGCAGCTCTTTAAAAAATCACAAACATGTCTAATGAAGAATGTGTTACCTGTGGTGTTTTTGGAAGTAGAAGTTGTGTTACTCTATCAGCAATTCTTCTTTTGGCTTCTTCTCTATTCAACTTAAGAATCAAAGGTATATCTTCAGCACAACTAAAATAGAAAATTGGAGAATCCAAAAAATCAATTTCACTTGTATGCTGTACTGATTTGCACACGTTTTGCAAAATGAGACGCAATGCAAGGAGAGAAATTTCTAGAGAAAAAGTGATGACAAGCCCTTTGTACATCTGTTACTGGCTAAGATTTTTCTTCCTCTAAAATGTCTATCATCTAGTGAAGACCTAATATATTAGCCTAATTTAACGCTCTGCTTGTCTGGGTTAGTAATCAGTGACCTGAATAGCTGAGTTTGAGTATATAAATTCTACATAAAAAAATGGTAAAATTATACATAAGAATGAATTTTAAAATGAACATTATAACTTACTTTTTTCTATTTCTAGACTTCTTGCCTTGATTTGTTTGTTTCTGACCAACAATAGCTTGATCTTGTATATGCTGCTGTTCAGCAATAGATGTAGATAACGCTAAAGCAAGTTGTGTTTGTTCATCTAATTTACTGGAATAGAAAGAAGATGAATATTAATAAAAATTGTTGTCAAAAAGTTGTCTTTGACTAAGATTAATTCAAAGAAATAAGTTCACCACCATTTTAAAAATATCTGTTTTGAAAACAACCATCTATATATTATTAACAAAAAATATTGCATATCAAAAATGTATTAACATAAGATGGACTCCTCATGTATTTAGATTTGTGATGGACACTATCTGTATAAGAAAAGCAAACATACTTTTTCGGTTCAGTCACACGTTTGGATCTCTTATCTTCATTAGAGGCAGGTGCCGCTGATTTTAGCCTTAATAACCTAAAATACACAAGCTAAAATAATGGTATCATGTATATTAAATACCAATGTAATGTGTTAAATGAGTAGATAAGTTAACTTATTAAGAGATAAATTATATGGATAGGAAAGGCTCTGGTGCATTTCTATAACATTTGTGACATTAATCTGGTTAAGTTTTCACGAAACACATACGAAAATTACAAAACTCCCAGTATATATATATTACTGTTAAGGGAACATAACAAACAGAATTACCGTAATGAATTAGGTATAACACCTGCAGCAATTTCTACATTTCTCTCTTCTTCTTGATTCTTAATTAAAGCAAGTAGTTTCTCAGTTGTTACACTCATTTTAACAGAACATTTCTTCATGTGACTTTTTCTCGACTAAAATATAACAGTACTTCAAATGATGATATGGCAATGTTTAAAAAAAGAAATAAGCCAGTTTAATTTACTGTAAATTTTCTCAAAACGATTGAATTTTAAATCTGACAAGTACTCTAAGTATATAGAAATATGTTGCAATAGATGGTATAGCTGATACTTAGAGGTCTGTATTCCTTTTTCGGTTCAATGATAACAATTTACAATTCTGGGCTCCTTTCCACGAAAAATCTTACAATCAATTTTGTCATAAATATGATATTTCTCAATGCTAAATTCTACACTTCAGACAAATTCTTATTTGAAGATTTTTTGTGGAATAGGGCTCAATACAAACCTGTGCTGTTTTAAGAGCTTTCCCACAAACAGGACAATCTAAAATGGCTGTCTTAGCTTCTGTCAATAAACGTTTTTTATTTTCTTCCTCTTTTAGTCCTGCTTCTCTCTGAAATATCAGATGTCTTGAATAAATTGATAAGCTATAAAATATTGGTTTTCAGAGCATTCCATAATTCCATCTGTTGCTGTCATCTGCTCCAGAGTCGTTTAATAAAGAATGTTTGATGGAGATCATAGGCGTAGGAGAGGTGGGCAGCTGTTTCCCCAAATATTATCTTTTTGGGCAGTGACCTAAAAACCTCAGGCAGACAAGTAGTGTTTTCACAGACTTGTGCCTTCTGTGATCAGTCATGCCTCGCCGGACAGCTCAATCCTTCAAAATTGTTGGGCAAATCAGTCTCCCACCCTTCCAACAGGTCTTCGGCCCGTATGCTTATGATAGAGAATAAATTATTTTGTTGTATCTTATCAGAGTAATATCAGAATAGTTACAGACCTGATCCATGCAGTGATTTACATGCTGTGAACGACGAGTTGAATTCATGTGTGAAATGTCTTTCTGGCATATCTGACATAACTGATAATCTTTACTCTTTTCATTGTTATCTGAAATTAAATGGTAACTTTCCTGCACCTGCCTGATCAAAATGGTTCAGAAGTCCTTAAGGACTCGAAAGGGGGCCCTTTTATTAAAAATTTCAAATTAGCATACAAAGACCTTACTTCTGCAGTGAGTTGTTAAACAATGAATTCCTATATCGTAGGATCGTTCAAAGATGACCTAATAATTATATTACCTTGACTGTTTGTTCTGACCAATGTAAACTGTTCTTTAAGACACAAACTAATATGTGAGGGCATCTGAGAGGATGGAATTGACTCTCGACATGTTGGACAGGCCTGTTCACTTCCATCAACATTTATTTCTCCTTTAATTATTTCCTTAAAAACATTCAGGGTTCCTTCTCTTTGATCAAGAACTTCTTGTTTAGAGTGAACACCTTTCTGTGGTTTTCTGACTGGCTTAATATGGATCCTGAAGTCTGAAGCCTGATTTTCCTGAAATTGACCCGTTTCATCAAGGTCAACATCAGGGTTCAGGGATTTAGCGACACATGATTTTTTGAATAAAGACAACTTGGCCTTCTTCACTAAAGTTTTACTGTGAGAGTGTTTTGCGTTATCTTTCACTATCTTGAGAGTATTTTCATCATTTTTGTCTGGAGTTGATGATGAACATTCCATTGCCATTGTCTGATAAAATACAGAAAAAACAAATATACATGTATGTTAAATTAGGTATAAAAAGATAGTGGACCACAGCCATATACGCCCACAATGGCATGCGGATGGTAAATATTCAAGATTTTGGGGCAAGGGCAATGACTCTGCTTCTTACGGTCAAAAATAGCTCAAATTCGAACTTTTTTAGAGCGTTTACAAGCAAATGTTAACGGAGGGATAGACGGACGGACGGATCTTCATTTCATGAATATGTATGCACATAGCTAATTTCATTTGATTCCTTCAAACACTCTAGTTTTTAGAGTGTTTAAGAGCAATTGATGTTGATAGAAACACTTACTGTATAGAGGTTAAAGGGCGATAACTCTTCAAAACTGACGTAAGAGGCCTAAATTTTGAAAAAGCCTTATATTTAATCAGAAGTAAACTAAACTTTCTAAAACCTTTCGATTTAGGTCCAATAACATCCATTTTAAGTTTCATCAAAGTCGGTTGAAAACTAAGAGAGTAATAACATATTCAAGATTTTGGGGCAAGGGCAATAACTCTGCTTCTAACGGTCGAAAGTAGTTCAAATTCGAACTTGATCTTTGTTTTATGAATATGTATACACATACCGAATTTCATTTGATTCCATCAACAAATCTTGTTTTTAGAGCGTTTACAAGCAAATGTTGATGGAGGGACAGACAGGTGTGCCGACACAATATACATCCACATAGAGAGATGTGGACGTATAAAAAAGGAAAAGTGAGTTTAGAGAATTTGAAATGCTGACCATTTTCATTGTATACAAGCCAGTCATTATTGTTTCAAACAATGAATCGCTACTATTCTATTGTACTCATCTAATTAAAATTATAATTTCATAGTTAATGATTGTTTATTAAACAATCAAAATAAGAAAAATCATGGTTTCCAAACCAGGAAATCGTCCAAATTGCTTATTTGAAAACAAATATACTACTTAAACTCATTGGATGGAAATAATGAAATTTTCCAAACCATAAAAAATGTTGCAATGCATGGGATGGAAACAATCAAATGATTTTTCTTATTTTGATAAACAATCATTAACTATGAAATTATAATGTTTGATTAGATGAATACAATTAAATAGTAGCGATTCATTGTTTGAAACAATAATGACTGGTTTGTATACAATGAAAATGGTCAAAACTGATGATTTCCAAATAATCTTGACTGCACAAAATCATTTATTTCCATATAATCTGCTTATTTCAAATAATTTTGTCAAATAATTTAATTCCCACATGGCGCCTTATATTATGCCGCAATATTTCTTAAGTATGGTTTTTACTGGTTTCGGAAACAATATGATGTTTCTTTTTCATGTCACAAAAAACAATAAATGTCTTTAAAAACACTGAGGTCTTTAATATCATGTTTCAAGTTTAAAGTCACCTGCTAAATTTGGTAATTTTTAATCAAGCAATATTACAACATTAAGTAAATACCTTGATTTCAGTATTATTGCCCAGCCCAAGTCTAAGCCATATCAAAATTGCGGCCCAAATTAATTCGTAATGTCAAAACAGTTATTTTGTTTGATTCCATAGGTAAAAAATTGAAAAATTGTTATCTTTTTAAAGAATTTCCACCCAGAAACTTGAATTTCATCATTAAGGTAGCTCTTCCTTTAAGAAAAAAATGACTAAAACAGATTTTTTGTTGGTTTTGGTTCTTATATCATTTAAGTAAGTTTTAAATAGTTAAAAGAGTATGTCAGAAAAATCAAGGTTTTGCCAAGGATTATCTGATAATCCTGGAAAATATTGAAACATTAAATTACTTTGAATTACCATACCTATTCTTTTATTTGGAAGATACATCAGACACAGACACTTTTTGACTGTCCCCAACTTCTTTTTCTGGTGATCTTCTCATAGCTTTAAGTAGTTTTTCATTGGTACGCATCAATCTCTCGATGTAAGCCTTATCTAATTCCTGAATTCTTGTTGCTCTTATATCAAAATAACTGAAATTTAGAGGCGAAGAATGAAAAATATTAATTCTTATGAAATTTCCTATTGAAGGAATCAAATTTTAGTCAAAATATAAATTTCATTTGAATGCCGAAAAATTTATACAGTCAAGTAACCTAATTTCGTGGAAACCTATTATTCGTGGATTTCCGGAAAGGATTAATAATTTACATGAGTGACCTTGCGCAACCTCCGCATTAGTTTGTTTTGATAAACAGGGTTTTCTCTACAATATCAGCTTGTAGAATGAATCCAGTAGTTTCAAGCAAGGTAAAATGTATTAATGTATACTTTGACAAATACAAAATGGCGGATTTCACTTATTACCAAATATCACCACTTTTTATCGGCCGAATTTCCTTATAATCCCAAGCAGTAATCGGAATTCCAAGTATCGTCTGCTAGAATAAATTCCAACGAATGAAGTCACGTGATCAACCAGCGGATTCTGTGTCAGCAGTTCTATGGAACACAAAGTGGACCATATTCTTATGTTGTTTCAGTGACTTTTAGCAATAAATCACACTACGTATCTTATTTTGTCAGTCACTATTTTTTTTTTAAATCGTGGTTCTTTGAAGGAATTGTCACTAGTTATAATGAATTGATATTAAAGATAAATACTAAGAGAAGTTAATTATACCACCCGGTATCTATACAACGTGTTTTTAGACTTATTTATAGATCAAACATTGTACACGAAAATAGGTGAGGCATTCTGCCGCCGTTGCCGAGTTGGTTGCTCATGAAATATGGGTCAAAGTGAAGGATTCATTAAGAAAATCGAAATAAACCAATTTTAATTATTTGGTAGAATATCTGAGGAAACCTCTAAGACATAAAAAAATTTTTCCTTTTGTTTTTAACTTTGACGAAATTCGGTGTTGAATCCTTATATCCACGAAAATAGGTTACACCACTGTATTACAAGCTTGTGGGCTCAATAATAATTTAGACAACATGCATCAGTCTGTCAGACTGTGTTAATGTTGATAATCATTTTTATGCTTACTTACCGTAAAGTGTAAATCAAACCTATTATTCCAAGAAAAACTGATGCTTTAAAGATTTTAGCATATCTATCAACAAGTGTATTTTTCATCCAATATCTTCGATTAATTTCCCGTAATTTCATGATTGCACATTAATTATAACAGAGGCCTAATTTTTTGTTTAATACATATTTTCCTGAAAGATAAACAGATATATCTCTATATAGTCAAATTTGTTATATTACAATAATTACAGTCAAGTAACCTAATTTCGTGGAAACCTATTATTCGTGGTTTTCCGGAAAGAATAAATAATTTAATGAGCGACCTTGCGCAACCTCCGCATTAGTTTGTTTTGATAAACATGGGTTTTCTCTACAATATCAGCTAGTAGAATGAATCCAGTAGTTTCAAGCAAGGTAAAGTGTAATAATGTATACTTTGACAAATACAAAATGGCGGATTTCACTTATTATCAAACGTCACCATTTTTTACCGCCCGAATTTCCTTATAATCCCAAGCGGTAATCGGAATTCCAAGTGTCGTCTGCTAGAATATATTCAAACGAATGAAGTCACGTGATCAACTAGCGGATTCTGTGTCAGCAGAAAATTTCTATGGAACACAAAGTGGACCATATTCTTATGTTGTCTCATTGACTTTTAGCTATAAATCACGCTACGTATCTTATTGTGTCAGTCACTATTTTATTTTAAAATCGTGGTTCCTAGAAGGAATTGTCACTAGTTATAATGAATTTATCTTAAAGATAAATACTAAGAGAAGTTAATTATACTACCCGGTATTCATACAACGTGTTTTTCTAGACTTATTTATAGATCAAACAATGTACACGAAAATAGGTGAAGCATTCTGCTGCCATTGCCGAGTTGGTTGCTCATGAAATATGGGTCAAAGTGAAGGATTCATAAAGAAAATCGAAATAAACCAATTTTAATTATTTTGTAGAATATCTGAGGAAACATCTAAGACATGAATTTTTTTTTTCGGTTTTTTAACTTTTACGAAATTCGGTGTTGAATCCTTATATCCACGAAAATAGGTTACACCACTAGTTATAAAATGAAATCCCTCTTCATCATTGCTTTACAACATACGGTATTACATTATTACTTGTAAATATAATGCTAGCCAAACATACATGTATATGCGTTAATTTCTACTGAAATTCTTTAAATTCATACCAGTTAAGCAGTTGACTGTATGATTCCTTATATGGTTGGACAGCCTATAAAATTAATTACCAGTTCTATTTAAATTTACATCTTCCATGTCTTAAGATGTAAGCCGCCATTGTATAAGAGTGAAGGTCATAACGCAAAGTACAAACAATATTTGATTGGCTACTCAAAACGTAATCCACCAATCAATTTCCGGATTGATGAAATAGTCCGGAAATAAACTGCAAGTGCAAGTAGATTTAGCACGACTGAAGTAAACCGGCACTGAGGAAATGATTATGAATTCATAGTTTGCTTTGCTATCTTTCTGCAAATGACAATAACAGTTTAAGAATTTAACTTGAAAACATGCATAGATTTGTCACGTGTGATCATGCTGTATACAGTTCTATGGTGCGATACAGTACCGGTTTCATTTAAGGCAGGAGATATTTACCACGCGTGACAGGTAGCCAAAAATAATCAAAAAATGAAATGAATGGAGTTTTACGTCCTCTTTTTTGCACCATGTGGTCTAATGAAGACGGGCAACGTCATGCAGGGTGTAATGAGGGAAATTTTTATCGGGATATGATTTTCAACTGTCGAGAGATCTTTAACGTGCACTGTAGCCTGCAGCGTTTATTGTCTCACCCAAACGACGCTTTTTCGATGTCAGCCCCTCTTACCTGCATTACTGACAGGGGAAACTGCGTTTAAAAATCCAAAGGTATAATCTCGACCAATGCCGAGTTTGAACCCTGGATCTTCAGGTTTGCGACAAAACCAATGATGCATAGACATAGACGCATGGACATCAACCAAGAGATGCTTGTTCCGCTTTACAAATCCTCCTTTGGAGTATGCAGTCGCCATTTGGCATCCAATAAACAAGAAAGACATCACAACTATTGAGAATATCCAGAGAAGAACAACAAAATTAATAGCAGAGCTGAAACATAAAACCTACCCAGAAAGACTATGAATTCTTGGAATTCCCACTTTCTGATGCAGGAGGAAAAGAATCGATGCCATTCAGGTTTACAGATACATCAGCAAACAAGACATCTGTGCCAATCCAACCCTTCTAGAACTTTCATCAGAAAACAAACTCATGTGTTATGTCAAAAAGCATTTCTTCAGTACCAGAATAGTTAAGCTATGGAACACGACTGCCAAACTTTGTTGTAAATTCAGAAACAAATAACCAGTTCAAATCCAACATAACCAAAGCCTGGAAAGATGAAAACCTAGCACAATGTTGTAAAATTGTATGACCTGCAACCAGTTAAATAACCATGCGCATCCCAAAAATCAAAAATCAAGTCAGTACCGAAGATGTCTCAGAAGTAACTAAGCCTACCAAAGACTAACAGTATAATAGAACAGCAGTATAAATAGACGCATGAAAATCTATAATCCCTTCAAATATACCTCGAACTAGAAATTTCACTGTCTATTTCTATAATAAAATATGTGTTTTCTATATATGGCAATAGTCTCGCTGAAATTCTGGTCGAAGTTTTAACTTTAAAACGTGAACAATTATGGATACACACGGCTTTGACGGCTCAAATTTCGACGATGAGCTGTGAACACTGATTATGTAAGCTAAGCTCTTCATTCCGAAGATATTTCACAGTATGATTTTATGAATTTTTTCCCCAAAAATATGTGGTAGCGCATCGATCACCGTCTTCTATATTTTTCTTGTGGAGTACACACTCAGATCCTCCACAGCAGATTGGTGCTTTCACAGTGGTTTACAATTTGAAATCTCAACCCCGTCATTCCCCCTCCCCCATCAATTAAGCCCCTATTTTTACACCTAGCTCGCTGCCTTCGCTACCGCGCATTGCGTCTTCTTTCTGTTTAGTTTGAGCTGTGTGCAACCAATTTCCCTTCAGACTAATGTGTGAGTTTGGCGATTTCTAAAAAAAGAAAGCCTTTGACGCCCATTTTATCTCCATTAACATTCAAACAACGAAGTGAAAATGTTCGCTAATAATTATAGCTCGCTTTTTTTATGAAGAAAATTAGAACAAAAATATATGTTTCACCAACTCACAATATCGAATCATTTGTTAAAATAAAACTCCTTTTAGAATAGTTTCAGTAAAGTCTAAAGCCACCTTGGTGTAATATACCATGCGTAGTAAATAGATACTGTTCATTGCTTCAGTACAATTAACTGTGGAATCAATGTCACAACGTGATGAGAGGAGTCCTAAACTTAAGTTGGTTGGGGCTCTTCTCTGAGAATTTTTTTTTAACAGACCCACCCCCGCATTCATTTTAAGTCAATTTAATGACTGTTAATGAACTGACGGAGGATTAGCCTCAAGACAAAGGTAGGTCTACTATGTTGCCCTCTGCAGTTAGTTAGTCTTAAAAATGCTCATGTAGGCTACTCAAATTGGACCCTCTTAAACTGTCATAGATGACATAGGGCCTCATTTTCTTTAAAAAGGACATATAATGATGTGGTTAGTAGGGCCCCAGTGAATCATTTTATAATGTGTTTTAACCATTAGATAGAACTTTGGTAAAAAGAAAATATAATTTTTTCATGGGGGTTAGGGGAAGTTGTACCAAACCAAATCGGGGGTATTTGAATTAGTTTGTTTATGTATAAAACTGATAGCCGGTCTAAATGTGTGAAATCGATATGGTTTGTCCTCATCGACATTTATGAATGAATAGGATAGGCCATCATGTTCAAACCACTCCCCCATTCGCCATACTTCCTCATGACCGTGGAAATACAAATGAGAAAATTTACGTATACATAGCTGAATATTGTCCAATCAGGAATGCCCCTGCAGTTATCGTAGTAAAATCACTCGTTATGACGCTGTTTGCGAACGTGAACAAAATGAAAGCAGCGTACCATTACATGCCTATTTTGATTAATATCGACGGAATATTTATTTCCCAATGATTGAAAAGCCCAGCGCTTTTTATTACCTAGACCGGCTATTGAGTTGCCACAGATTGGTGATAATTGTCAACAATCACGATCTTTGTGTCCGACTCATATGACAAACGTGATGACTTTCATTTTCCTATTGTAAATTTTCAATTCATCTGCAGTAACATACCTCAGTCAATTGGACTGACGTGTTAGACGTGTTTACTCACCTCAGTCACTTGGCATATACGTTTCACAACTCATCCACTATGCCAGGGCTTGTTCACATTATGAAGACTGTTTGGCCAGAGGTCGAGTTTTGACTTTGAAATTGCTTAAGCAGGGATACTTGACACATAGACTTCAGACTTCATTTAGGGAACTTTATGGTCGTTAGGAACTTTATGGTCGTTATAGCGAACTTCTGGACAAATATTACAAATCTGTTTCTTGCAGCCGTTCAGGCATATTGATCTGATTGTATCTCATGGCGTTGACCTAGATAGTAGTGGAGCGCAAAACAGACGAGGCTTACTCATTTTGAAACACCTGATGGTACTTCTCTTTGGCGAAATCCACTACTATAATATTTTTACCCTTGATTATGTCATGCTTTGTACGAGATTTTGACTAACGGAATTGTCTTGCTTGAACGGATTTTTATTGATCTGATCGGGCGTTAAATTCTCAACCCAAGTCTCAGAATTACTTGTATCTGCATGGCCAAAAACTATTTACAACATTTTTTCAAGATATCTGACATTTAAGAATTTACAAACGATTATGATTAGGCTTATGATAATTATGATTTTTGTGATTTTCTCTGATCTATCTACGTGGTTTCATAACGACGTAATGAACAGAAAAAATCGTGATTTACAGGCATGAGGTCCAAAAGATATCAAGACAGTTACCAATAAAATTATGGTAGCCTAGATACCAAAACTTCCATCATTGAAAAATTCTTGTAATCTATTTATGACCCATCTGTAATTTGCCTTTGCAGCCTAAGTAATTTTGGCAATGAAACCCTTCCATAAATCTTTCTACTATAGCCAGTCTGGGAAATCGTGACTACGAAGGAAGGGAGACAACTTTATATATTTAATCTCCAGGAAATAGTGATTACTTGAAAAAAGAAATAACAATAGCTTATTATTTCAATTATATACCTTTGTTCATGGCAACAATGAACTGAAAGTGAACACACCTTTACAGGAAGTGTCTGTCGAATCAAAGCTAACGATTGAATTGTAAATGCACCACAGATTTGATTAGATCCAAGAAAAGAGTTACTTAAAAATGGCTGACTTCGAAGTGCCCGTAGGTATGTATATTGTAGGCATAGGACTTCTTTGCTCTAAGCCCAGACAACGTACTTATTCGTGAACTAGGCTACCCAATTGAATTTTATACTGTGGCCTAAATTATTAATACTATAGGCCTATCAATATCAATCCAAAAAGACCGTCCTAAAAAAAGATTATAGATCTACTTTGCAACCCCACCCAAATTTTTAAAGTTTAAAAAAAAAATCTTATCAACCACTTTCTTTGTACTGTGAATATAATATAGGATAGATAGCTAGTCACAATCCTCTTGAGATTTGGAGGAAAAGGCCCTATGAGTCACACTAACAAATCTGATATAAAGATTCACCAAATGTTTACATCAGGATCATCAGTGGGGTCATGTTCCGTTAGAAACGTTATGCTGATAATGATGTTAGATGTGAATAATCATTGTACTGTTGCTAAAGGAACATGCAGGGGGTGGGAGGATGGAAGATAAGGATTATTGACAGTTTGCTTGTTGTTTTTCAGTAACTTCAGAAGATATAGACTTAACTACAGCTCGTGTTGCTTTAGTTGTTACTGGCTTGCAGATTACAAAAGGAATCTTTAAAAAGGCTAAACCGAAAAATGGAACTGTAGACGTAGTATTTGGAGAAAGGTAATCTTTTTGGATTCAAGGTTCAAGTAGATATTATACAATTGGTACTTAATTTGGAATGGACTAAAAATGGCATTTTCAGCTTGAGATGACAATTTATATGGATAATTTGTATTAAAAAAGAAGCATGATGAAATTTTCTTTAACATGTCTGACTGAATAAAGTATTAGAATTACAATTTACGAAACATCATAGAATTATCTTTATTTTGGAAGGCTGTTCTAATCTTATTTCAGATCATTTGAGGTTACTGCTGAGATCAAGGGCAAAAATGGAGTGCCAAAGATATATAAACAAACAATAAAGAAATTACCAGGGCTGATTGATAAAGATGCTTGTACTGTTGATGTATGTGTAATCCTCTATTTGTATAATAGTTAAAAAAAAAAAGAGTAAACTGTTCAATAATTTCAGTCCAATTTATATTGCAAATATTGTCTTCCTAATTTATTATTACATTATATACTCATTAGCCATGTAGACATACCTAGATACATAATATTATGAAAGTTGATTAAGAGGCATGAGTGAGTTAGACGCTTGCTCTCTAACCTGAAGGTCCAGGGTTCAATCCTGGCATAGATCGAGATAATACCTTCGGATTTTTCAACCCGGTTTCCCCTTGTCAGTGATGCAGGTAAGAGGGGCTGACATGGAAAAAGCGTCTATTATTTGGATGGGACAATATACCGAGGCCTCGTGTGCTACAGGCTGTGCACGTTAAAGATCCCACGACAGTTGGAAATCGAAAAAGAGCAGGCTAATGCCGCTGTCCTGGCAAAATTTCCCTCATGACGCCCTGCATGGCGTTGCCCGTCTTCATTAGCCCACAAGGTGCAGAAGAGTAGGACATAAAACTCCATTCATTTCATTTCATTTTTTCCTATTAAGAGGCACAGATTATAGTAAGTAAGTATTAATATTAAACTAATCTTTGTTCTATATGGTTTTGTCTTCTTAATTTTAGTACAAGAAAGACCAAGTTATTTTAACTTTAAAGAAAGAAGAAGAGGGATCATGGGCTGTTCAGTTATCACAGTCAGGACTTGAACAGAGTGATGATTAGATTAACATTGCTTTGTAGACAGGAAAGGGAAATTTAATAGTGATATTTTATATTTTTAACAATTGACACTTTCACAAGCTTGATATTTATAAAATAATGTAGATCTGCTTATTTTTTCTGGCATGGCTGAACTCAATTTAACAGTCCTGATTTTTTTTTTTGTGATATCATTGTACAGGGATATAGTGCTGAAAACCTGTATGAATATCATGTACTGAATAACTCAACAATGCATAACATGTAACATTTTTCATATTCTACATTTCATTTTATTAATTCTTTTTTATTTAAATTTTATTAAAGTTAAAGATTTTTAATTTGATGTATATTATTATGCTTTGATAAGAGGTAATTGGTGTTAATAATTTATTTTGCTCAGTTTTTACTCATGAATATTTTTTATTTGGTATATCAAACCATGCAGGTTTTGTAAGTAAACTGCACTCAGACTTTTTGAAAAATGTGATTATTCAAATATGTCTAAAATGTAAGTAGTTCAAGTAAGAAATTTTTGGCCTTGCATGAAAGTTAGTAAGATATCTTTTCATTTAAAGTAAGATCTGAGAAGAATTCTGTTATAATTATTTATTAAGTCAGTTTATAGTGTTTTTTTTTTATGAATTTTACTCTTTATACAAATATTATATAAGTTCTTACTATATACAATTTTTAAAAACATGAAATATTTAATCTTGTGTTTACAATCCATGGTTAAATTATAAAAATATTAAAAGGTAATGTTAAGGAGATTCAAAGAGATTTCTAGCTTTGGTATTTTGTACATGAGCCAGTTATGGCTCTTATTTCCATTATGTAAATTACCTGTGGTTCCTGAAATTCCAGAATTATTTGACCTGATTATCATAGGTCTTGATATAGTCATGTTTCTAGGAAACCTCATGAATCTCTATAAACATCATCTTTAAGTAATGGTAAGTTCAATTCTATATTCTCATAGCTGATTGTTTTGTTTTTTTGATACAGGATTTGCTATAACCTCAATAACAAGTCCCATCTCATGCAGATAGTAACTGACTGACTCAATAGATTTCTAATTCATTGATTCCTGATGAAAATATTTGTTTGATGATTGGAAATCTGGAAATAGGCCAATAGAAGATATAAACAATGTTATGTAGTAAGCTGTAAAATTATGTAGAATTATTCTTAGCAATACCTTATACATAGATTAAAATGAATATTTATAAAAAGCCATTGAAAGGAAAACACATAAACATGAACACAAACAAATCACACAGTTGATGTAGGATTGCACTCAGTAATCTGCATTTTTGTCTGTGATAGCACTCTCAATTTGACTGAATACTCAGGCCATATCCTTTTAGAACTTATAAACACAAAGTTTAATGACCATGAAAATAAACTGTATACACTAGCTTGAAACACTGGATTTTAAAACTTATTTTGTGCACATTGCATCTGAGTTTTTGCTCCCGTTCTTTAACCCCTTGTGGATACCTTTCTCACATACGAAACACAATATCACTATTTGACATAAAATTATATTAACATCACATATTTTGAATGTTCCTGAAACACTTGTTTATGATTCTCCAAGAGGATTTTCAGTAAGTTGAACATGTTGTTCAATTCCAAATCTAAATTTACATTTACCTACCAGAGGCCATCTCACAGATTTGTTTTCAATGATATAATGTCGACTATCACCATGTTTCTTCAAGATGTCACTAAAATCTCCTTCGATGCATTGAACAAATGAATTATTGTCTTTAAGGTTTGTTATCACTACTAATACACGCCCTTTTATGCAAACATCCATTTTGAAATTAGCCGTAAATTCCTGCTCACGTACCAATAGTTCAGCAGTTGTCTTATGCTTCCTTGGCACCTTAATGGTACTGTTGATAGACCATGTCATGTGTTCTTCTTGAGAAGTCTCCTCTACTGACCCCATATTCACTTCTCGTCCAAACCCTGCTGTTGCTCCGGCCACCTCATCTGGTAATCCTAGCTTAACTTCCAGACTAAATCCTTTAGAATAGCCCTTAGATACTTCCGTAGTACAGCTTGATACTGTTGTTCTTTCTGTTTGAAAGGAATGTTCTTGTTCATGATCTGTCCAGTTTTCATATGTTGACTTAAAAACAACCTGAAAGGAGAGAATGGAAATTGATCATTGAAGATTCAAAGTTTTGTCTATCATTTCTTCAAAATCGGCGATTGACGATAGATTTGTACCATTTATTTGTGGGTTGTAGTCAGAAGATGGTGTTATATCCCTTTACATGATATGATATATAACAGTGACAATGTAGTAAACAATGTAGCCTCTTGTAATTTGAATTTTTTAATTTGCACTCATTGTTAGATTATAAATCTAAGAAGCCTACAAAACAGAATAAAGAACATAGGCCTACCTGTGAATTGGGTTTGTCAAGTTTCTTTTCATCCGAGTATTCTGGTGTACCATTAATAAACCTAACTTTCGCCCATTTGACTTCCATAATGATATCTTCAAGTCGGAGTTTGATATGATCTTTTGATCGAGTTTTAAGAAAGTTATCCCATGCCCAGATTTTGACTAATTCTTCGATATCGGTTAGTTCTGGTTTAGACATTTTCCTGAAACGATAAAATGAAAATGATAATAAATACGGTCATAATGTACTGTAGAATGATGTTTAAGAAATGAAACTAGTTTCATATGAAAAATTTCTAATAAACACGGGTTGAAATTAACTGCTACAGATAGAATAACTACACAGTGTTATACAGATTAAAGAAATGATAGGGTATCTAAATGTACCGTTAATAACTATGAGAGAAGATATTAGTCTTTGTATTCTAATCTCACGAGTAATCCTTCCAATTACTCTTATTAATTTATCACCATACAGGCTAAATATTTAAAATCCTTGTCCCGTAGTCACAATAAATCAAATGGCTGGAATAATACGAATTGTAGTAATATTTGATCAAGATATTTTCTTGACCCTGACTTGTCTGTGGATCTTGGTAAAGTACTTGGGACAATTTCACCATAGCCTAGTGCTATTAGTATTTTCTATTGAAAAGATGTTCAAGTTTTTGCTTCCACGAGCAAAATGTTTCCTTCACTAGATGTGCTCAAAGAACCCTAATAGGTGTGTTATAAAATATACAACCTGGCGTAAAGCTCAAGCTGATGTAATTTTAAAATGCAAAATATTTTAAGCGTATATTAAGCTCTCCACTCTTGTCAGATAACATCTTTAGTTATTATACACTGTAAATCTTTTCCAGTATATTCGACAAAGAAAGCATTGGTAGATTGGTTGCCAGAATAGTTTGATAAGATAAGTGAGGTTTTGTTCAATCTATTCAACTGACCTCTCCAAGTCCCCTTCCAAAGTACTGGTTTATATTCATTACAGTGTAGATTATTACAAGATATATTTTAAAAAAAAGCTGCCGGCACAAATAAAATCTCTGACTTTAATTAGGATATCATAGAATTGATCATACAATATTCAAATATTCATTCAAAACCACGACAAACTGTTTGGTTTTCCACTTCATTGAACGATATCAGAACAGTATGTTACTAACCTTGCTAATGTCAAGTTAATATCGATTGATAAGTTTGTTATCAATAATATGGAATATGATCACTTCTTTATAAGGGCACTCTGTGTCCTTGTGTGATACAGGCGGTACACATTACAAATCGAAAATAGGAATAGGCTAATCAAACCACGTACTATAAATGACATTCAAGAATACGCCAGTCCTGCAAAACTATCGGTTGATGTACACTACAATCAGTCATGTTTGGAGCAGAAATATCATCCCACTAATAATCCATTCACATTTGCACAAATTATCTCTTGATTAATGCTTACTAAGGAACCAATACACCATTTCAAAAAACTCTTACCTTTTAATATCAACCAACAAAATTTTTCGTCTATTACAATTCAAAGGAAGTTATTAAATATCACTATACTTCACACGACTTATCCTCTGTATGAATCTATTGACGAAAATGTATCTTTATATTCCCACTATTTGAATTGTTAAAATAACTTTGACTTGACTTTCTATTTACAACACATGACTTCTATTCAACTGACAGTGAAATTTCTATTGCCCATATTATCATGAATACAAAACAAAAAAAAGATACGGTATAAATTGTAATAAATACTATCAATATGGTATCGATATCAACATCTAAGACACCGCTGATTAAAACCTACCGTGTGATCAATCAATTATTACACCTGTTACCAGGCCCGTAGTCTGACCAGTACTCCTGGGGGGGCAAACATGCAATCGAGGGGGGCAATTTAGCAAAGCACCTTGACAGACGATTAAACGTCGGGAAACGGACTTTCATGGAGTATTTTAGATTCGAGATTATTTTTGTTAAAACACACAAGTTATAATACGTTACATTTTTATTGCCGTTTTAGTTTAAACGTAGTCGGGTATGTTTTATGGCAAAACGTTGAACAAATACGTCCAAGTTAATTTTCTGGGTCTTCCTGTTGAAGGCAAGAAGAACAAGATTGCGCTGGCGAGTCATAGATCGTCGTTGTGGTGAGTCAACACAAGTAAGAGTTGAAAAGCTGCTTTCACACACAGCAGTACTAGAACCGAATGTGGCAACGCTTGCAGCCAGTGCATATAATTTAGGGAAAGCCAATTTCGGCTCGTATAGTTTTTGAAGAACAAGATTGGAGTCCTGCTTTTCTGTCTTGGCAACGTTATCTTGGAGAAATTGTTTTGACACCTCAATTGTTATGTTTCTCGAGGCCCTTTCCAGTATCACCTACAGCATGCTTCCAATCTGTGTAGCCTTCAGTGATGAATTTTTATGCACCCGCAGATGTATTGTGAAACACCCGACATGGAAATCAAAAACGGGCGTCCCTTGACACAGAATACTCCAGCCATGGAAATCGATCATACCAGCTGTTACTAAAATGGCGCCCAGACTTCGCTGGAAATTTTATTCTCGGTTGCTTTGGAACGTCTTCTTTTCCAATGTCACCTGGTACTCCTGTCTTTTCAGAGCATCGTGGTACTGCATCCGTTGTGTTGCCCGCTGTGGTTTTGATACCAGTGTCAGTCGTAGTAGTGTCGGAACCATCAAGCAATTTGAAACTGTACTAAAGAGGTGTGAAATATTTCAATTAAGTTAGGTATTCTCTATAAATTACACCCCAACTGTCAAATCTATTGATGTTTGTAATTTAACATACCTGTAGATGTCTTAATTAATATTTCAACTGACATAAATAGTAATTTAATCCTCTTAATTAACCTTCCTTGTTTAATCATAGTAGAAACTATTCATATCAAACTGAATACCAAATATTCATTCAATTCAAAGATGTCATTTAATTCTAGGTTTATTTTGGATTCATATTGACCTTTGTTTAGTCGATACAGCAAGTTGGTACCATAATTCAATAGCACACCGAACCATCATTCATGACTAATTCAAATCGATCTCAAGTTCAATTCATTCGTACCTTTCAAATGGTATCTTTTGACTAAGGAAATGAATAGTTGTTCTTTATAACAACAAAATATACTGTTGAAGGGACACTTCCCGAAACTGCAACCAATAATTCGTTCTTAGACTTGGGTCATCAAAAAAGTTAGTTTTTTCCCTATTAATGACCGCTCTTTAAGTTAATGTCTTTATTCAACCGAGTGTGAAAGAATTTACTTTGACCGAAGATTAATTACTTACATGATGGTATGTGAATTGAGCCTATAGTAACCAGTTTTTAACACTGTTTTCGAAAATGTATACAGATTATATTGGAAACAAATTTTAAAGATAGCTTGCCAGGCAAGTTAATATACGCCCACTGGCAGCTTTGATTTTAAATAGAAATACTTGGCAGTGCAGTAACTATTACCAAGATGAAATATTCAACCTTAAGTCTTATACTTCATTTGATCTTTTTGGGGCGATACTGTATAATATTACCAAGTTTCGTCAAAATCTGTCAAGAATTGGGCTCATACTAATAAACCATCCTTGGGAGATAACAAACATTTACACCAAGTTTCGTCAAAATCAAATCAACCTTATATTGCGATCCATCGTAAACTTATCTTGCCATCAAATGAACCGTATATTGCGATCCATAGTAAACTTATCTGGTCATCAAATCAACCTTATTTTGCAATCCATAGTAAACTTATCTGGTCATCAAATCAACCTTATTTTGCAATCCATAGTAAACTTATCTGGTCATCAAATCAACCTTATTTTGCAATCCATAGTAAACTTATCTGGTCATCAAATCAACCTTATTTTGCAATCCATAGTAAACTTATCTGGTCATCAAATCCAACCTTATTTTGCAATCCAAATCAAGCTTGTCTTGCCATCAAACCAACCTTTTCCTGCAATGCAAGTCAAACTTGTCCTGTGATCAAACATGTTATGCCATGGTTGGTTGGTAGATGACAAGTTAACGTTCGCTTCCAGCGGATGCTGATATCGCAAACTAGGTAGTTGTTGGTAGTTGCCATCTAATCTTATACATGTACATGACTGTATATTGCCACCAATCTTTACTTCGCCTTTGAATGCACCAAACGTACTTAGAACTTAGAATTTGTATTATATGTACTCTATATAGAAAAGCTTCACACGAGAATGATAAAGCTATATAAAATGTTAAATTGAGATATTTCCCAGCTGTTGTCGACATTAAATCTAATCAAATCACCTGATATCACTCTATTTATAGACGAGCAGGAAATGGAATACAGATATGTAAATAAATCCTTGAAATACTGGTTAATACTGATGCCTACAGCTGGATCTCCTATAAAGCACTGGTTAAGTCACAAGAAGAAAAATGGTCAAATTAGAACACTGGATGCAATACAGATAACAATTCACAATAATTTCATGATGTTTTCAATAAGACTTCGACAAAGTATCGAATACTTCGGTGATCATATATTATGCTTAATATTCAATTGCTTAACACTCTTTTCCCCAGATTTGAAACTTCTAAGCGCCATTCTTTCGTATGCAAAGGGAATTTTTCACTTCCAGATTACCTCATTTTGCCAAAGTTCGTTCTTAGATCATACGTTGCGTTCCATTCCTTTGATCACGTACCCAAGTCTTTTTCGTTAACTTAATAGTTGAAGCAATGATATTGAAATGTTTCACCTGTTCTACATCTGATATAAAACTAGAGTCTGTGTATTTTATATTTTACCTCTGGCAATTAGATTTAATCTTAAAGTTCAGAGAAATCATATACATTCAACCAAGTTATATCACAGCCTATCTTATTAATCATGGAAAGAAAATCGGCATTCTGGTTTATTCCTTTAAAAGCTATTCGGAATCAGAAAAACCTTACAGCACTAAACAACCAATTAAATTGATGATTACTCAACCAGCGCTTAGTTTCAGTCCTAATAACCTAGTAAGATCTTAATAATCCATAGAGAAGGTTATATTTTGTAGACAGATCACTTTCGAACAAGATAGTATTAAACCTGCAGTACTCTAGTTGACGTTATGAAAATTCATTTCTACAAACTTCCTTCCTGTTATAGTCTCTTATCAACAGATGATAATTTTACCTTAAAGTTCATTCCTTATCTTCAG